CTGCAGCGTGCCCTGACACACCCACGCTAAATGACGGTGTGGGAGCTCGCAAAGTAGGCGCGCGACTAAAGGAAGTCAACCGGATTGGCAAAGTTGAGAGATCCGGGTTGATTATTTGAAGAAGATGGGCTTGCCGGAACAGATTTATTTAGATGCTGACGTTTCGAAGAGCTTGGTCGGCTCTCCATTGTCAAAGCGTAAAATGCACTTAATCCGCGAGAAATCCCAAGTGGCGTGTCACGTTGGTCGGCCTCGTGCTGATCGATTTTTTCTCTCCTCTCGCTGCCTCGGTCTCTCGGGGGGTGGTTGAAGGGCGTTTTGTCTGCGTGCTTTGTGAGTCACCACTCCGTCGGGGGGGGGGGGTGATTGAACCAGTGTCGGGTGGTCGGTCTGGCGGTTCCTGTTATTCTTCACCTAGTAAACTCGTCGTCGGGCTGTCTCCGTATGGCCTTCTGAAGTCTGCTGTGGTAGTTTGGTCCTCAGCTCTACGATTGTGATGACGTAGGACTTTGCAAGCTCCAGGAAGGTCCAGATGCCTGTTGATGGAGTGGGCATCGGAGAACCACGCCTCGAGAGTTAGCCGTTCTGCTTTTGTGTTGCCCCGGCCTAAGATGATAACTAGCTGGAGATCGAAAGTAGGCCCGGTTTCTCCCACATAGTTGCAGTCTTACATTGGCTTCCATTCCAGTCTTCCTTGTCTGTGTCGATCGTGACATTCTGCTTATAACGCCAGCAGCTAAACGGCTGCTGGCGGGGCTGGAGACGGAGCCCCAAAGCATAACAGGACGAGTGTTTCCAGTAGTGCGATGTGTGAGCGCCCCTCTACCTTATAATAGCGCATGCCGTATTCGAGTGGTCTTTCCCTTGGATCATGATTGGATTGGGAACATAAAGTCGGAGAGGTGTTGTGTTTTTCGTGAATATAATATAATTAACACTCAAAGTATTTTCAGTACGAACACGTTTCTAACGTCAAACTCCCAGCACCACCGAATGCTAAAGTTCTGAGGGTGGGGAGGGATGGGCGATATGAGATCCCGTAGGGAACCCATGCTAAGTCAGACCATTTTTGCCACTAAACACAAAATTGTGCGCTATAGTGGAATTCGGGAGCCACCAGGGCATTCAAATGGCCTTATTCAGGGAGCACTGATGACCCCCCCCCCCCACGGTGAAAGGTACTAAACAAGGTGCGATAATTAAGTTCTGGTTATCACCCTGTCTGACAGCTGACCGTTGGCGTTTAGCTCAATAACGTGGGCTAAATAATGAACGAAACGACGACACTCATCACCACCTCGCATGCCAAAACGATGCTGCTCAACCGGGTAGTCAGTAATGACTGTGCTCTTCTAGATAATTCAGTGGCTAACTGACCAGAAGGATGGAAAATCCTTGTCGCATGAGAACTCTGCCGACAGAAGATAGGCCTCTCTTCCTTTAGCTGCCTCCCTCCCCAAAATTAGAGGGACCCCTCTCTTGGAACAATGAGGCAGTCGACAAAAAGAAGAACGACGCGGCGCCTGAGTCGCCTTGGTCAGGAAGTCGCCTTCCGTCCCGCATGGAATCCATATCCGACTTTGTTATATATCCTGGTAGTATGTCGCCTGTTTCTGCATGGAACAGAGGATAGACAGAGCGGCAGAGAACAAGCTTAATGGGCCAATCACTGGGCCTACCTAAACTCTCTACCCTGCAGTCAACGGCCATGCTTGTGTCTGATCTGCGTGTTCCCATTGGTTGAGTTCTGAGCACCAGCATAGGCAGAACCTCATTGGTTGCTCGCGCCGGGAGGTCGCGGATGGCCTGGCAGCGTACGAATTGCTGACTTGCGAGGGGTTGGTGAGCGAAATTGACCCGCGGAGTGGTAGTCCTCTGTAGCAGGTGAGGGCTGCACAAGAATGTTGTGCCGCGTTCTGGGCCGCTCCAACCGACTCGCTACCACGGCGTGGGAGGAAATCCGGCTTCGTCGTCAACGTCTACGTCCAGACGCCTGGCAAGCCATGACAGTGTGAAGAACAAGTTCTATGAGTTTGTATATGTCGCTTTGTGTTACCTTGTTTCCAGAGACTTAAATTCGCAATGTGGTACGGACCAAGCCAAAGGGGAGTGCTTGATTGTCACCCAGTGGACAATTGCAACAGCAACTAACTTTTCCCGAGGAATTCCTCTGAGCATAGCCTCTACATAACAACCATCGCCCTTCACTTTTCCAACGACAAAAAGGCAACGCAGTTGCACCCATGCTCGCGTCACTGGTAAATGCCGAACTATTTGCTCATCTGGAGGGGAGATCTTTGCGAGGTGTTGGTGACAAGGGCAGTATGCAGTGGTATTCACCCCCTAAAAAGAGCCACGCGGTACATGCGCTGGACCAACACTGGGCATACAGTTCGTGACCTATCTGATGAAAGGTCACGAACTGTGAATTTAAATCGCTGTAGCGCACGAAACGCCCACCCCGCATCCACGAAAGTTATACTGCAGTAAAGAAACGACCGAGTTTCGAAATTAGGCACAGTTTGATTGATAAAGTATTATTTATTGACTAAGAAATAATTTTAAGTAAAACTGCCAAATCAAGAAAACAACCCTATGACAGGTCAACTATTCAGGGCCTAAAATAACTGCCAGCGGAGAAGGGGAACGTCATAAAACGACAAAATGACGAAAGATAGTAACAAATACAACGTATCAGTACTTTGTCGATTGTCCTTTAGCTTTCAAAGTTTCCGTAGGGCGAGAGGGCATGCGGACTACCAAGTTGTCTAAGATGGTCTGGTATATGTAAGTATTAAGCAAAAATTCTAACTTTAATTCCGTAGAAGGAGGTTTTGTTGCCTTGTCTCAATTTCCTTTGATTAGTGCAAAAAGATTTTCGAAGGGATTTAGTTCCGGGCTGTTGGCGGGAATAAAAACGATTTAAAGGCCGCAGGCGGGGAGGCTGGCTGAGGTCTTAAATATTAGATTATAGTCGTAAGCTGAA